GCTGTGGGGCAACATGGTGATCAAGGGCACGGGCTTTGCAGGCCACCCGTGTTTGGGTTCTGTGCCCCGTCACTTCCTAGCTGTGTGTGGTGTGGTGGTCCCGCTTCACCTCTCTGAGCCTTGACTTAGTGATGCTGTGAGGTGAGAGCCAAGCTAGATGGATGTGAACGTGAGCCAGCGTGCGCTCTGTGTGCTGTTCAGGCGAGGGTTTGCAGTCTCTTCTTTTTGTGGGAGGAGCAGCAGGTTGGATGGCTCTTGGGGACACTAAATTGGAGCTGCCTGAGGTCAATGACAAGGGGCAGAGTTACAGAAAGTTCCGGATTCTCCCCCAGGGAACCTCATCTGATTGCTCAAGGCCCACTTGCTAGAGAAGTCCTAACTCGGGTTGCTCTGGGGCGTTGGGGAAATCAGAGTTTGAGCAAAGCCCCATGGGGATGTGGCAGCAGCCACAGGAGGCAATCTCCTTCCGAGTTCCTTCTGCAGCTGGGGCTGCCATGGCGGGAAAAGGCTGGGGGGAAGCAGCGGCGGGGAGCAGGTGGTGGCAGGAGGTCAGGAAACCTCCGCCAGAATGTGACTGCCACGGCCTGCCTCCACTGGCCCTCTTGCTTGTGTCCTGTTCTCTATTCGGCTGCCTGTGCTCAGGGTCCTCCTGGCCACCCATCGCCCTTAGAACACAGTACAGGCTCCCGCTGTGATGGACAAGCCCTCCCTGTACGTCTTACCTGGCCCCACCTGGTCCACCTCTTCCTCATGAGCAGCCGCCTCCGCCGCAGCCGCCTCCGCCTCATCCGCCTCCCTGGTTCCTGAACTTTCCCAAGTCATTGCTGCCTAGGGCCTCTGTGCAGGCTGTTCCCTCTAACTAGACAGCTCTACTCTGCTTAGAAGACCCTTGAGTCTTCTCATGGCTGGTCCTCTTTCCTTCTGTCTCAGCTCAGATATCCGCCTCCCTGACCCCCAGTCCAAAGAAGCCCCCTCTCGGTGCTCAGGGATGTCACCCTGAGACCGTCTCTGCAGCACTCAGTGCCCCTGAAGTTCTTGTTTGGGTTTTTATTTTATTAACTGTCTCTTACCCTCGCCCTGCCCTCCAGCACACATGCACACACACAGATGCTCCGTATGGTTTTATTCATGGTAGCTGCTCAGTAAACATTCGTTGAATGATTGGGTGGGCAAGGCTGTCAGAAGTTATAGGTTGACCTAGAATTCTAGCCTAATTTGGCTGGTAGAAACTTCTGCCATAGGGCCTAGGAAGTGAATTGTGAAAGTGCAGTTGTGGGAAGGTTCTGCTTCAAGTCTGTAGACAAGCACTTTTAATATCTGTGCTCTCGAGTTAAAACCTGAGTCTCCGAGTCTGTGGACCTGAAGTGGATCAGGGAGCCTCTGTATGTGTAGAACAGAGCCAAGGGATTGGCGTACAATCCATAGATGTGTTTTCTTCGGCCCACAAGTGTTTTGCAGTAAATTTAAATTAGTTGCCAGTGTTGAGGAATTGGAAGATTTCGCATAGAGGATGTCAGCATTCTTTGGAAAGCTCTTTAGATCTCAGACCACTGGGCCCATGATCCTGAGTGGCAGCACCTGGCTGGCCCTGAGTGGGGACGGCACAGTCGGTCCACACTGGGCCCACTCCCCTGTGTTCTCCGGCTGGTAGAACACTGGTGGTCGTGTGAGGTGTGTGATCCTGGTTGTTCACAGTGACCGTCACCTTGGCCTGCACGGAGGCCTGTAATTACGTTTCCTTCCTGGGGGAAGAAGGCGGGGTTGCTTCCAAGGCCCTTACCACAGATGCCGCTTCACCCTGGCATCTTAGCTCCATGAATGGGCTTGGCACCCCTGCCTTCTCTCGAGGGGTGAGGTCCCTGGGCTGAGGGGGCCAGGGGGCAGCGGTGTGTGTGACAGCGTGCTGCCCTGCACGGGGCCCCAGGCCTAGGGCTTCTGCTTCCTCCCCTACAGGCCTCTCACTTTGTGCCTGTTGCTGTCACTCTGTCCCCTCCTTCCTGAGCCCACGGAGCAGGCTTCTGGGAAAGGATGACTCATGGCTCCCAGAATCTCCAATCTAGGAAGGCACTGGGAGAGCTTCTCGCTAGCTCCGAGGGCCCTCAGGCTGGACCAGAAATAGCTGTGGTAATTCGGTCTTATCTGCACCCCTCACGCTGCGGGCCTTCTGTGCTGGTGAAGAGACGCAGGCCCTTGGGACCACTAGACATGTTTCAAGACACAGTGACTTGTTTTCTTTTCCCTCTGAACTCTTATTTATTGCATACCCCATTGTTATGATAAAGAACAAAATAAAAAGGGGAAATTACCTGAGTGCCAGCACTATAATGTACTTCTCTCTCCTTTCCAGTCGTTTTTCATGTGTGTACATAATTGTAATTATAGTAAAATTGAAATCCATTCACTTCAGTATTCCCAGCGCCCCGAACAGAGGATGGCACGCAGTAGGATTCGGTAGATATTTGTTGACTGTAGAGTATTTTGTTTATTTAACCATAAAGTGAATGTCATTCACTGATGTTCTAATTATTTTCTAATTCATCATACACTGATTACTATTGAATCAAATTGTTAGAATTTGTTTGCTGTTTTACAATATTTAGATTTTTCCCCCAATTTATCAGGTTTAGAAATACTGTTGCAGTGAGCATTTTTCTCCACATAACTGTTTTTGAGGGTTTTGAATTATTTTCTTAGGATAAATTCCAAGCATTTGAATTCCTGGATCAGAGGAGAGAAAAATAGGAATTATAGAAATTGCTTTCTAAAGTCTTACTTATCCCTAATGCCAGGATTATTTGAGAATATTAGTTTTACCATAACCTCATTAGCATTTGGATTATAATTTTTACATTTTTGCTAATTTAGTGGTATAAGACAGTAGCTAACTGTTTTAATTTGCCTTTATGTGTGGTTATTAGTATGGGTTGAAGAGTTGTCTAAGCATTTAATAATAGTATTTCCTCTTACGTGCCTTGCCTATTCTAGTAGCCTGTATAGCTATTAGAATATAGATGTTTCAGTTGGATTTGGGTGAATTTGTTGTATAGGTATGATTGGCTCGATTTTCCTATCCCAGTGACTGCAAACATTTTCCTAGTGTGTGGTTTTCCATTTTTAATATCAGGTGTGTTATTATAGGTGTGACTTTCTGTTCTCTGGAGAGTCTGAGAACGTGGTTGCTGGAAGGACCTTAGAGATCTAACCCGACCTCAACGTCTCAGACGGGGACACCGGCCAGAGAGCAGAGGCCACAGCTCACAGCCACAGCTGGCACCCCAACCACTGCTCCTTAATCTCGAGCTCTCTGAGCTGTAGCCTGCTGCTCTCCTGGCCCAGAAAGTTCTTTTGAGCTGAGGTTTATGCTTTTTTGTACCAAGGCAAGCTTTGTAGGTGTAGGACTGACTCTACTGAAGGGGTGCCGCTGCCACTCCAATGACATGGAGCCCGCCATCCCACCTTTCTGGCTCAGGGCGTTTAAAAATATCCTGGGCTCGGCAGTTGGGAGGAACCCATAGTCGATTTGTGAACGTTAAGCTCTAAACAGTCAGTGCAGTTTTGATGTTGGATCACCCTCAGAAGGTGCATTAGTTCCACAATATCGGCAGCCACCTGTCTGCCAGGTGTTGTGCTAGATCTTGGGGGTCTGTAGAGGGTGATGAGAGAAGCGTGGCCCAGTGCTCTGGCCTGGAGGAGCTGATGCGTCAAGAGGGCTTTTACTGCCTGCTTAGCCATTTGCTGCTCGTCACTGGGGAGGGAGGGTCCCAGAACTGGTGGTGACTCCTGAACTGGCCGTCAGGAGACCTGGTTTAGAAGCAAAGATTCAGATCCCAGCTCTGCCACTGTGTAGCCTACATCGTCGACCCCCTGACTCGTAGATCGTGTTCACGGTCAGGTCTGTTCATCCATTCGGCAAGTATGCAGTGAACAGTTATTTAGTCACGACTCTGCACTAAGTGCTCAAATTGCTACAGAGGTGGCTAAGGCAGGTCCGCCCTCCAGGGGATTAATTTTAGTGGGATAAACAGAAATACTAATATCTACCTGTCAAACAAGCAGAATTATAAATGAATGTAAATAAAATGCCGCAGGCCCACCAAGGAATCAGTAAGTAGTTTTAAATAGGGTGGAGGGAAGCTTCTCAGAAGAGGTGGTGCTCAGCCAGGCCATAAGGGACAGATGGAATTCTGGGTGGGGATGAGGAAGGAAGAAGGAATGCAGGGAGAGGGGGAGGACCGCCCAGCTACGGAGCAGAAGGAACTGACACCCGAAGACGAATGCCATCGTCCGGGGTGGCTGGAGAGCAGAGACGAGCAGAAAGGAGAGGCTGGGTCCAGACAGCAAATGCCACTTAGAAACCATCAGAGAGTTTGAGAGGGATGAGAAGGGTCGTGTGTGTGACAGCCTGGGGAAGTTCTGGGTCTTGAGTGGAAGAATGCTAAGAAAGGAGCCCAGGAAGGGAGAGATGCGAGCTCAGGAGGTGAGGGGCCCGTGTACTTGGCGTAGACGGCTTTTCCCGTCTTCAGTAGCAGCTGGTCCCAGTGACGGGGAGCGGGCAGGTGTGTCTCTGGTGATTTTCCACTTCCAGCCCGGACTCAGCCTTTTCACTATTGGCCTCCACCTGGTTGGCCGGAGTGGGGAGAGGGCCAGCAGATGCAGTGCCCTTGACGTCTGTTTGTTTAGTTTGGAGAAATCCTAATTGTTGTTGTTTGTTTGTTCATTTATTTAGCAAATATTTACTGAGCGCCTGCCGCGTGCCAGGTGTTTAACCGTAAAGTGGACGGGAGGAAAGTGACATCAGTGTAGAGGCGTCCCAGACTCTGGAAATTTGGAGCCTATTCTCTTTACAGGGAATTTGTGACCTAACTCATTCATTAATGGATTCCTGGTGCTGAATTCCCCTTATGCAAGGAGTAGCTCTCAGGGTGACAACGTTTATGTGTCTGTGCTTGCATTCCAGATGCCTTAGTGCCACGTGAGCTGCCCCAGGGGACTTGTTCTTGGTGGCCAGCAGCTCTCAAGCAACTCACATGTCCTTGGCGGGCTCCATCTTGGCCTCGGGCTCCCGCTGACACATCGGAGAAGCCCATCCACCGGCCTCCCCGCCTGGCGTCCTCCTCGGCAGACCTGAGCCATGGAGGCCCCCGAGGTCCCCGTGGGCTCGCTGATTGACTTCGAGACTGAGCCATCCGCCTCCTCGCCCCTGGAGGTGCTGCCTCCCAAGCTGCAGGATGGGGACAGCTCCCAGGGCGACGGCGCATCCGAGAGTGAGACCACGGAGTCAGCGGACAGCGAGAACGACATGGGCGAGTCGCCCTCACACCCTTCCTGGGACCAGTACCACCGTTCCTCCTCCGATGAGTCCTTCTCTTCCAGCCAGAGCACCGAGTCGGCCAAGGACGAGGAGACCCTGGAGCTCAGGGAGTTCATGCACAGCTACGTGGAGAAGATCTTCTCCGGAGGGTAAGCCCTGGGCCAGCTCTCTGCTCTGCTCTCTGTACCTTAGGGGGCGTCACCTGGGGCCAAGGCTTCCCTTCCCCCACCAGCCAGTGATTGGCCACCTCGGAGGTTCTCGTCCCTTCCCGGCTGCAGCTAGAATCACGTGGGGAATTCTCACCACTTCTTCCCTCCCCCTGCTGCTCCGACCACCCCACCCACACTCTCACCTCATCCTTGCTAAAGCCAAGGACACTAGTTTTGCTTCCCCAGTATCTGAGTGCTTTCAGATTAGCTGCTCGTTGGCATTCCATGTCAGGGGTCATACTTGGCTAAGGGGCTGCAGTTATTAGCTGACATTAAATTTAGGGACAATAGAAGGCAGGAAGGTTTCAGTTACCCGTACTCCTTGGGATGCTCATGGGCAGCTGAGCTTAGGCCGCTGCTGGGGTGGGGACCCTTCCTCGCACCTCTTTCTGGCTGTTCTTTTGTGGTTCTGGAAGGAATAAATCAGGGGCATTGAGAGGTGGAGCAGCAGGAAGCGGAAGTTGGAGTTGGAACGTAGACTGAGGAGCAGGGAGTCTGTGCACAGGCCTCTGGCTACCCCACCTTCAGGTCTTAATATCTCAGCTGGGGAAGGGGAAGCGCACAAACCCAGTTCCTGGGTTTCAGGTGTCGACTGTTGATCTCGCATCATTCTCAGCAGCACCTCAACTGCCGAAGGTCTTGCCACTCAGATTGTCATCTGTGGGCCCGCAGCATCAGTGTCACCAGGAGCTTGTTAGAAATGCGGTCTTGGGCCCCCCAGACCCGCTGAGTCTGAACTTGCGTTTTAACAAGGCCTCTAGACTCTTCATGCACACACTACGATCTGAGGAGCTCTGGGGGAAGGGATAGTTTTCCAGTTTGATTAAAGTGCTAGGAAGACTTTCCGCCTGTTGACACTATGCAGAGTACATTACAGTCCCGCACCACAGAACGACGTTTCAGTCAAGGACAGACCATGTATGCAGCGGTGGTCCCTTGAGATTAGTACCACGTAGCCCAGGTGTGTAGGAGGCTGTACCACCCAGGTTTGTGTAAGCACACTCTATAACGTTTGCACAGTGACGAAATCCTCTAACGAAGCATTTCTCAGAACCTGTCCCTGTTGTTAAGTGACACATGACTGTATCTTCTACTATGATTTAGGTCCCTTGTTTGTAAACTGGCAAGGTTGATGTCTGCCTTTTTCAGGTGTGCCTCAGATTTCTATGTGGTTAAGAAAAAGGAAGATCGCTATGGTAATCTAAATACTTGACTATCCAAAAACACATTCATGTTTGATTTGGAGTGCATTCTGGGGGAGTAGTAGATGTCGCTTCCTGCTTATTTTGTTTGACTAACACTGAAATTAGTGAGTTTCTCTGAGCACACCCAGTTAGCGAAAGGGGGAGAAAGCCCAGAAGCTTGCTAATTTGCCAGGAAGTCCAATCTATGTTTGTGGCAGCTTGTTGGCAACATAGAACGTGGACAACTGAGTCGGCTGGATTTTCCAGAACGTCCCAAAAATCACTGCAAATGGCTGGCAAATTCTCATGTTTCATCTGGTGTTGGTATTTTGGGATAAATGAGACCAAGATGTTTTTCTACAAAACCTTAAATAAATGAAATGCACAAGCCAATTGATCTTCAGCCTTCTGCTTCATTTTTTTAGTCATTAAATTTGGGGTAGAGTATTGGCCCCCCCACAAAGAGTGATCAGAGGTGGTTTGAGATCAGGTGAACATTTTGTCCACCTGGTGGTGGTGACCCCCGTGCCTGGGGTCCCCCAGTCTCCACCCTCACACACAGCTGGGGATGGTCATAGAGGGGAGCAGACTGTGGAGGAGGAAGCCATCATGCCCTCTTTCTGAGAGGTCGGAGGTGGCATCAGACCCCTCGGTGTTTCTTGGCCTCAGTGTGTCCTGCTGAGACTGAGCACACTGGGCGTTCGTGAATTCAGCGGGTGGTTTCATGCTGACTTCAGCACCAAAGATTAGTGAGAAGATGAGCCGGAGAACCGAGCACTCAGAGAGTCGTGTCTCGTGTTAGTGCCCAGGCCTCACTGGAGGCGAGAGGGCAGTGGGGAGGAACATGCGCTTGGAGCCAGGCGGTCTGGATGGAGCTCCCGTTCGCTGCCCCCGAGCCCGTCTCCTCGTCCTTGAAACAGAAGTCATACCGTTTCTGCAGGGCTGGCTGGAGGGTGGGTGAGCTGCTGTAAGTCCGACGTCCGCACTTGGCTGGGTGCAGTACTTAATCGTTGCTTCTCTTTCCTCTTCCCCCTGCTGCATCCTCTTGTCCCAGAGGATTGACGGTGTTCTGTTGTTTTTTTTCCCCTCTGCTCTTTATCTCAGAGAGGACTTGGACCAGGAGGAGAAAGCCAAGTTTGGCGAGTACTGCAGCAGCGACAATGGGAAAGGCCGGGAGTGGTTTGCCCGCTACGTGAGTGCCCAGGTGAGGGCAGGTGATGAGGGGCTGGCGGTGTGTCACAGACTCGCTGTCTCTCTGATTCATCCACTCTGGAGAAAAGGGTCAAGGGAAGTGACCCAACAGAAAACAAAGTGAAACTTGTCTAAAGATGTTGTGAAAAGGCCTGTTGAGAATAGTGGGAAGTGGAGTAGCTCCTTTAGGTGCCCCTCTAGAAAGGAGAGAGTGAGCAACCTGGTCTGCCAACAGCACGAAATTCCAGAAAAGTTAGCTTTTTAAAGGCAGGTATGTGGGCTATGTCCATGCATATTTTTATTAAATAACCTACATATTCAGCTTTTGAGGATAATATATTCAAGACAATGACAGCCATGTAAGTTCAGAAAAGAATTAAGCTTTATAAATATCCAGTAGGTTCTTTTTTTTTCTATAAAGTGGCTTAAGTTATTAGTTTTTGAAGTATTTTTATCACAAGTATTCATCAAAGAAAAATTAGAAAATGCAGATAAGCAAAAATAGAGAAACTACCCATAAATCCACAATCCAGAAATAGCCCATGTTGTCATCGTGGGGTTTCATCCCTCCTTGCTGTTCCGTGTGTGGGTGTGTGTGTGAAGTTCCTAGGTTTTAAATCTCGTAAGGAGACGCAGGAAAACATCTGCTTGTGCTCTGCCGAGTGATGGTTGTGTGCACTCAGCTGGGTCCTGGTTTCTGTAGAGCAGGGGGCTGTTACCGTCCTGGGCTCGCCTCCCAGCTGCGTGTAGAGACGCCCAGCATGGTAAGCCCACAGTCTCTCCAAGCTGCAGTGCACCTCTGCCCCCTGGTTGCCCCGATGACGTGTCTGCCCTCTTCCTGGACAGCGCTGCAACTCCAAGTGTGTCTCAGAGCCAACTTTCTACCGCCTGGTGCAGTCTTTCGCAGTGGTCCTGTTTGAGTAAGTAATGCTGTCGCCCAAAGCCTTTGTCCTAATGAGCTTGTCTTCCCTCCCTTTCCCACCCCACAATAACCCAGTTGTGAGCAACAGCCACACAAGTCATCAGCTCGAAATTGCTCTGATACACTCAGCATCAGCTAAAAGGAGAAGTCGTGACCAGCATCTCACGGGAGGGAGTTAGTGGTCCTTACATGGCAGTAGAGATTAGAGGGTCGCAGCTGGTGTGAGTAAATTCCTCTGTGCAGGTCCTGGGGACAGGCTGTGATTACACACGGTAGGCCTACCCTCCTCCAAGAGGGATCTGGAGTTTTCTTGAGTTCCTGTTGTGAAGTGCTGCAGACTAGGCAACCGCCCACTTAATGATAGGATCGGATGACAGGGCCTGCCCTGAGTACTAATGAGGCTCTGCTGGAGCCTTTATCACAGGAGGCCGTGAGACAGTGTGGGTGGTGAGGAGGGCCCCATCTGCCTCTGTGCAGCTGTGGGAGGCAGGCCACGTGACTCAAGGGCTCTCTCCTCCTGAGGCCCCATGGCCGTAGGGCTGCCAGACCCCCTTCATACGTCTTGGACTTGCATCAGGGCGGGGGACCTACCCTCCAAAGTGTGAATGGGAGGGGACGAGGCTCTGCCTGGGAAAGCCGAGCCCCAGTCATTTGCGCCCCCCAGCCACCACCTCCTGTGGCCTTGAAGTAGATCAGGCCCCATGGCTTGTGCCATGGCCACATCTCCACGTCCCCACATCCCCATGTCCCCACGTCCCCGTGTTCCCGTGTCCATTTTGTCCTTCCAGGTCTGTAAACCCTCTTTTACTTTTCCTTCCCCTTCTTTTCCAACAGAAATGTGGCTGCTCTCTCAAACCTTAATTCCTCTGTGTCTCGGTGTCTCCTCACCTTTCTCAATTCTGCCACAAACATGGGGCACATACTGCAGGAAAATGACCAAAAAAGAGGAGGGTGCCTATTCTTCCTGCACTTGCTCAGAATATCCCAAGTTCAGGAGAGGCTCCCGTGGGGGGAGTCTGGGTCTGGGAGTTGGTGAGGGTGGAGGGAGGAAACACCATCACTGAGGGAGGTCAAGTGTGCCCCCCGCTCAGCCAGGACGTGTGGGAGATGGTTTAAAGCAGGCCCCCGGTGCTGTTGTATCGACATGCTCTCGTGCCCTGAGAACGCTGCAGCTTCCAGGCGCTCGCATCTGTAGGAATTTTCATGAATCCGTGTCTTGCGTAGATTGCACCTGCTCCACATGGTAATGTACTTATCTAATTCTCCATTTTCTTTGAATTTTTCCTTAAATAAATAAAATGGGGAGAAAAATTAAATTCAAGTTCCAGTGCTGTCAAAACACAAAATCTTTCCACTACTTTGTGCACGAGCATATATGTCTATGTATGGTTGCAAAATATATATATATATTTTAAATACTTATTAATTTTTAAAATTTATGAGTTTGGTAATTTTTGGTTTATTAGTGTCTTTAGTTTTTACTTTTATTTGGTCTTTTATGGTTTTATTAGTACTTTAGTTCTTTTAATTTATTATATTATATTTATATTGAGATAAAAATGGCCGTAATCCCACTGTCTAGATAATTTCTGTTGGCTTTTTTTTTAAGTAAAACTTGTTGTCCAAGGTTAAAAACTAAACAGGAAAGTGTAAAAGAGAACAGGATAGAAAGGCACAGAGGCCTCACATGAAAAGGAAAGCCTCCATCACACACCCTGGTCTCTCACAGTTGACCCATCTCCAAAGGATAACCACTCTAATGATGCACATACCAGCACATATATATTTTTCCAAAAAAGTCGTTACGTTGACATACAGCTCTGATCTCTAGTGGCTCTGTGTGTACAAATGTCCCGTAATCGCTTCCTCTTGTGGCCTGTGGAGGGCACCAGATCACTCCTCTTCCTTTTCTTCTCTGATCCATGGGCGCTGCAGGGCGCTTCACTGTTGCTTTTGCAGCTATAACTGCAAATTCCTAGTGGCAGACAGGTCCTCTTTTTAAAGTTTTTCCTCCTCTTTTTGTTTGCTAAGTTGAATATATCTTAGTGTATCTCATAATCTTAATATAGTAAGTATAACATACTATAGTAAGTTTAACCCTGCACACTTATAGAACTTTTTTAGTATATAAAAAGTTCTGGTATGTAAGAATTTAATTTGATTGTCAATAAATGACGTAGGGTAGGTAGGTATTCATATTCCCAGTGGTTCTCAAAGTGCTGTCCCTGGGCCAGGAGCATCGGAACAGCAACTTCACAAGGCACTTTGTTGGACATACATGTTCTCAGGCCCTGCCCCAGACCTGCTGACCAGAGACTCTGGGAGTGCACCCTGCAATCCGCAGCTTAACACGCCCTCCAGCTGATTCTGATGTAGCTCAAGGCTGAAACCCGCTGACTGGAGGATTCATCTAACTCACTGCTAATTCTCATGAAGGGGCAGGAGGCCACATAGCCTGGGGCCACTGGTTTGGCCTGAGACCTGAGGCCTGACTTCCAGTCCTGATGCAGCTCCTCTGTCTAGGGTTGAGCTTCCTGGGCCTTGGCTGTTCCACCTTGAAAGTGAAGGAGGCCAGGCTGGTGGACTGTGAATTCCTTCCTGCCCAGAATCAGACCCGGTCCCTGCTGTCTGCCTGTGGGTAACTCGCCTAATTGGACGGAGGGGGATTATTTTTGTTGCTTCTGCTAGAAAGCATCCGGGAAGTGAAGTATTAATTTAGACTTGTTTATAAAGTATTTTGGTCTTATTTCATGAACTTGCAATGAGAAAATCAGGTGGAATGATTCTTTAGCCAGTCAGCCTTGCTTCTCATTTCAGGTGTCATCAGATGGATGACTTTGGGCCTGCCAAGAACCTCATGACCATGTGCTTCACGTACTACCACATGGGTAAGTCATGGGCGTGGCTCCTGTGGAGGGCAAGCTGGGAAACTCAAGACTGGGCAGCTTATAACATGGCATCAAATGAGCATTTCTTCCCGATTAAAGGCAAAGTGGTGAGGCTTCCAGAAAACAGCGGAAGCTGATGTTAGGGAAGGAATGAGCAAGGCACGAGATTCCTAAAATAGAAGACACGATCCATATCCCATGGTACGAAGGAAACCGCCCAGCTGTTAGGAAATGAGAAAACAAATACATTAGGCAGAACGTTTCATGGTAGACACAGGAATTGCTGTATGTGAGGACATCAGTTTTGTGTTTTAGCAAAATGTGACACAGGGTTGGCTGTTGAAGAGAGGCGTGAAGGGGCAGTCCAGGATCTTAGGCCGGAAAGCGTTCCCAGGTGTGGGCTGGAGACGCCTTTGTGAAGAGTGCAGATTCATCCTGAGGCTCTGACAGCTCTTCTGGCTCATTCCATTGGAACTTCCTGGTACATGGAGCTTGAGGGTTGCCTCTGTTAAGCTCCTTGGGCTGCGACAATGGAGACTCATTCAGGCCACTGTAAGGACAGGGCTGCTGGGGGCCTGTGCTTGGACCAGAGCTGGGTCAGGGCAGCGCAAAGCACCGGCCTCCCTTTCCACCTCCCTCGTGACCCGCAGGTTGGCTCTCGTGGTGCATCCCTGTCCTCTGCAGCTCCAACCGCCCCACCTCTCCACGCCCTCAGTTCTGTTAGCAATAGCTTGGTCTGAAGGCCTTAGCTCATGGCCAGGCCACTGTTGGGCAGGCCCTTCATGCTGGACCACACATCAGTTGCCTGTGTGTCAGACAGGAACCCCTCGTCCAACCTGTGGTTCGTCCTTCTCAAAGAACAGCTAAACGCTGCTTGTCTGGGTCAGATCTGTGCACAGAGCAGCTTAAATTAGAGGACACTTACATCTTGATCTCTGCCCTTTGACCTGTAGGTCACTCTTTGACCTATAGGGGGCGCCTTGGCCTGCAGGGGGCCCTTTGGCCTGCGGGGGGCCCTTTGGCCTGTAGGGGGCGCCTTGGCTTGCAGGGGGTGCCTTGGCCTGTAGGGGGCGCCTTGGCCTGCAGGGGACGTCTTGGCCTTAGGTCCATACACTGCCCTTAGAACAGGTGCTCCTTGTGTTGCCTCCGCTCCCTCCTCCTCCTCCCGCCATCTCCTGTTTCAGGCCTGGTCCAGGTGCCCTCAAGCCTGTCTGGAATCTGCATGCCTCCTCCCACCACAGGGAGGTGTCTTCTGTCGTCCTCTAACCCTCAGCCTCCACTGACGTAGTTACTTTCTGTTTTACACTCTTGCTCCCTGTGTACGTTGCTCACCTGCCTTCTGGACTTCATGTTTCTCTGGGGCTGGCCCTTGCCTGTTTCTTCTTTAGTCCCTGTGGCATCTGGCTGACTTCTTGTACATAGTAGGTGCTTGATGACTGCTCTTAGACAGGAGGGACCCAGGCCCCTGTCTTCTCCGGGGTGTCTGTAAGCTTTTTGCTTCCCGCTGCCGCTGCCGTGTCTGGCCATTGCGGAAGGAGGTCTCCGCTACCCCAGGTCAGCCCTAGCAGGCCTGCAGGAGTTTCTCTCTGCCCTCTGCTGTTTCTCCTACACAAGACAGCTCTTGTTCCTGCTCACCACTCCCCCAGGTAAACCACCCCTGCTCCGCTCGGAATCCAAGGAGAAGCCTGCAGGGAGCATCGACTCCTACCTGAAGTCCGCCAACAGCTGGTTAGCAGAGAAGAAGGACATTGCTGAGCGGCTGCTGAAGAATACGTCGGCCAAGACGGAGAACGTCAAGGGCTTCTTCGGGGGGCTGGAGACCAAACTGAAGGGACCCCTGGTCAGGAAAAATGAGTAAGTGTCACCTGGTGCGTGTCCTCCCTGACTGTGGGGAGAAGCAGGCATCCAGGCGTGGCACGCGGCAGAGGCTACATTAAATCCACACGTGGTGGTGACGGGGCCCCTGGCCTGGGCATGGGAGGGTCCGGTCGCCCTTGGCCATCTTTGGGGTCCAAGAGCCGCTCCCAAGAAGCGCAGCTGCCAGCCAGCGTGACACCCTACCCCCCAGCTTGTTGCTGGTTTCCAAGTGCCATGCAGGGATGTGCCCTGTGGGTCCGTGTTTCCTAGGACTGACGAGGAGCATATGGGAATTGTCAGTTGGCAGGAGGGAATTACAGACCTCCCCTCCTCCTTCCCCCTGTGACTGTGGTGAGAGCTTGTGTTAATGGAACGAGGTAAAGAGCGGAGAAATGGCTGTCGCCCAGAAGCATTCTCCTACAGGAACTCAGAAACCTTCTGGGGCGGCGCATTTTAGAACAGGAGTGTTGAAGACTTCCGCAAAGAAAGGGAGGGCGTCAGCAGGAGAGCTCTGGGCCAGGTGCCTGAGCCGGCCACCCTGTGGTCCCCACCATCACCTCCAATGGCTAGTTACAACCGATGGCTTCATTCCTTTCCTGCCCACAGTTTTGGATTCAGAGAAAATGGCACCAATAAGCCTAAACACCACATCTCAATTCTAAAAGACCGGCAGTTGGCAAACGTAGTGTTGATTTAATAAACCTTTTCCAGAGAAAACCACATTAAACGTGCACATTGGTTATGAGACTCAATCCCATTTCAGCAATGTGACACGGTTTCTTTGATGTGAGAAAGGGTGGAAGGTCACTTTGTCACTGCTGTGGTTTCTCTCCCCCAAGGGAAGAGGACAACAAGCCCAAGGAGAAGCCGCAGAAGACAGGTGAGTGCTCCCAGTGCGTCTGGGCGGCCCCTGTAGCCCTGCCCCTGCTACCCAGCAACACCAGCAGGCAGGTCCCCAGACGTCTCGGGCCTCCACTCCCCTCCAGCACGAGGGGCTGCCGTAGGTGATGCCTGAGTTGCTCTCAGCTCTCGTCTATAATTTCTTATTGAATTTCCATGGAACACCACTTCTCCAGGGAGAGGATGCAGGAAGTAGACTCCTTATCCAGGGAGGTTAAGGGAAGTGTCACCGTGGGGGTGGAGGAGGAGGTTGGCATTCCACCTCCGAGGGAGAGGTTCCTCATCACCAGCTGTGAGGAGCGTCATTACTGGCATGGGCGGCAGAAAACCTGTCATGGAATTTCAGCTGCAGTTTCTCTGACCTCTGGGGGCCACAGTGGTACCAGGAGCGTCGCTGTGGGGTTTGCCAACATGTGGGTGCAACCATAGCCACACTCAGTCTTCCCACCCTCCCGCAGTGACCGTGTGCAACCCGGAGGAGGAGAGGAAGGGAGAGAAGATCTACCTGTACACGCACCTGAAGCAGCAGCCCATCTGGTAAGGCCACTCTCATGCCCCTGCGGCCACAGCTGCTGGCACCTTGTCTCCATCAGAAATGAAGGTCACACATGCCCACGGGTTAGCCAGGTAAAAAGGATGAACCATAGCCAGTGTTGGCAAGGATCTGGAGAAACTGGAACCCTCCTACACTGCTGGGTTGTCAAATGGGGCAGCTGCTGTGCAAGACAGTCTGGCAGCTCCTCAAAGGGTTAGACATAGTTACCCTGTGACCCAGCAATTCCACTCCTGGGTTTATACTCAAAAGAATTGAAAACAGGCACTCAAGCAAAAACTTGTGCACATACATTCATAGTAGTGTCATTCCTAATGGACAAAGGTGGAAACAACCTGAATGTCCATCTACATGGACATTTGATGTGTGGGTAACCAAAATGTGGTCTATCCATCCCATGGAGTATCACTCAGCCATAGAAAGGAAGGAGGCACCGACACAGGCCACACATGGTGAACCTGGAAAACGTGCTGAGTGAAGGAAGCCAGACACGAAAGACCCACACAGTGTATGATGCCATTGATACAAAATGTCCAGGACAGGGGACTCCCTGGAGACAAAGGAGACGAGTGGCTGCCAAGGCTGAGGGAGCTGGGAATAGGGAATGACTGCTCACGAGTGTGGGGTTTCTTTATGGGGTGATGAACATGTTCTGGAACTAGATAGATAGTGATGATGGTTGCACAACTCTGTGAATGTACTGAAAACCACTGAATTGTGCACTTTTTTAAAAGAGTGAATTTTATGGTATGTGAATTATATCCCAATAAAGCTATTATTTATATATAAAAGAAGGCATGGTTGATGTGAGAGACTGGTGGTCAGGGGAAATCGTGCCCTCTGTCCCGCTCTGTGGATGATCCCCCTGAAGTCTCTCCATCACCGTATCTTATGTACTCACAGGAGGCGCTTTACTAGTCCTTGACCACAGAGGCTGTCAAACATGCCCCTCCCTCAAAGATCACCGTCTAGCCGAGGGAGAGCTTGGCCACCACAAAACAAGGGCAGTATGAGGAGCATGGCCAGGAAGGGCTGGGCTGGAGCTGTTCACAAGGCGAGGAGGCTCCTGAGCTGGGCCAGGTTCAGGCAGAAGCAGGGAGCGGGGGAAGCTGCCCAGCCACCTCGCCCCTGTGTGAGGCTCAGCTCGGCCCCTCTGGGCTTGACCTGGTGGCTGTCTTACCATCTGCAACAGGGCTCAGCAGGCTCTTCTGTAAGGGCCAGGCAGTGAATGTTTTAGGCTTTGCAGGCGACCATTTGACCCTGCTGTTGCAATGCAGAAGCCGCCAGAGACAGCAGGTAAGTGAGCGGACGGGGCTCTGTTCCCATAAAACTTGATTTAGGGGCTGGCCCGGTGGCATAGTTGTTAAGTTCAGTGCACTCCACTTCGGCGGCCCAGGTTCATGGGTTTGGATCCCCAGTGCAGACCTACACTCAGCAGCCATGCTGTGGTGGTGACCCACATACAAAATACAGAAAGATGGGCACAGATGTTTGCTCTGGGACAGTCTTCCTCAAGCAGAAAAGAGAGGAAGATTGGCAACAGATGTTAGGGCGAATCTTCCTCAGCAAAAAAAAAACAAAAAAAAACCCTGATTTACACAAACAGGCAGTAGTGGATCCGACCCGCACGCTGTAGTTTGCCGACCCCTGATCTTTAAGAATGTTTCTTACACGTGTCCCTGTGAACGTGTTTGCTCTCTGCACGTGGCCTGTCCCTGCTGGGTTCCCATTTATGTTACTAGACCCTGTTCTAAAAGAAAAGCAGGTCTCCCCGAACCCCTCACTTCCTCTTGGGAGCCTCAACGAGCAACAGAGAAGCAGAAAACGGCCTTGGCTGCGTGCTGCAGGTGGCAGCTTCACCTTTGACCTGAGGAATCCAGGGTTGACCCCGCTCCGCCCTCCTCATGCCTGCACTTCACCCCTCCTAGGAGAGATGGGCAGATGCTCCCTTTGCCAGGAGCCTCAGGCAACCACCTTATTTAGGATAAAGTCACATTTTTTCTGCTCAGCTCTACCAGTCTGAGACTTTTTAGAAGCTCCTACAGACGTGGTGGGAAACTCCGCTTCCTTATCCCTCAGACAGGCCGAGGGCTCTCTCTCCCGCCTTCCCTTGGGGAGAACTTAGGTGTGTCTCTGTCTCGTAGGCATACGTTGAGGTTCTGGAATGCAGCCTTTTTTGACGCTGTCCATTGTGAGAGGAGAAAGCGGTCTCCCACGACCAGGTAGGAGCAAAGGCCGGGCCTGCTTTGCCTCGGGGAAGAGGACCAGGGAGTGGCTTTATTTTCCTGTGTCTGAAGAGGAGAGCAGAAGAACAGCTGAGTCGATGCATCTGTGTTTCTTCTTCAACCCCTTCTGGCCCCGGTGCCCCGCAAGCTGCCTGAAGGGTCCTGGGCGCACAGCTTCGTGGGGGGAGGTACTCGGCTTGCATGAGCGCTTTCTGCCCGGGGGCTCTGGCATGACTTGGCCTGACCTCGTAAAAAATGCAAACTCCCCCTGAATGAAACCATCAGGCCCCCGTGGACCCACTCTGCCTATGGCTGTGTCAAGTCAGAATCCTGAGCACAGACCACTGCAGCAGGGTCCTGGGGTGCGGGGCTGGCCAGACTCTGCTCTCGAGAGCTAACATCTGGGGAGATGCACTTGCTCCTTTCAACCTCCTCCTCTGGTCGCAGCCTGAACAGCCCTCTCCAGCTTCCCTGAGGGTGGTCTTGCCGCCTCAGAAGACCCCTTTTGTAAACCACGTCAAGAGCACGGGGCGGCAGTGAGGGATGGACGCTAACGCCATGGAGGCTGGTGCTCAGTTCTGTGCTGGCCACCGTGAGCACAGGGTGCCACCCGCTGCGTACAGCGGCTGGGCAGGAGAGGGGTGCAGCCCTCCCTGTCCTGGGTCCCTTATTGGTGCCACCAGTCGTGGGACTTCGAAGTCTCCTCTTTAACAAAACGAATTCCCTCTTCTCTAATGCTGGGGAGACACCCCACCCTTTCTCCCTAGCAGGAGAGAGGGCAGATCCTGCTGTTTGAGTAAAGATGTTAGTTCACTAGCACTCTGGGGAATCTTAAGTGGAATCTTTCTTTTTGGGGGCAGCTAAAGCCCTAGTGAGGCGAAATGGCCTGCCTCCTACCCCACAGCAGTCTGCTGTGGCTGCATTTCCTGGGGAGGCAGAGGGAGCTCGTGGAGGGGAAAGACGCTGAAGCTATTCCCGAGGATGCTAGAGAGAGGAGTCTACGCTCTGCCAGGAAACAAGAATGAGGGGAGCGCTTAGATGCTTGTAGGCGAGTGGGATGTCCTCTTGTTGTTTGGCGCTCTAACTCCTAGGAGATAAATTTATCTTGCACACCCTGTCTTTCTCTGTCTGCTCCATTTCTGCCTGTAATAACCCGCCCTCTTTCACTGTTCTCTTTTTTCCATCCACATATCTTGCATGACTTTGACATGTTCCTCTGTTTACCTGTTTCTGCTGCCGCTCCAGAGGGGATGCTGGAGAGGAGGAGAAGAAGAGGTGTGTGTCCACGTGACTCGTTCATGTTACAGTTCCGGGCCTCCTTCCAGGGCCCCTCGGGGCGGGGGCCATGCTCTCTAATTGCTGCAGGGCTCAGAGCCCAGACACAGGTGCAGCTCCACATTCCCGGGAGGCAGAGCTGGCGCTGGGACAGGCTGGCAATGGGTGGGAGCTCGCCAAGGACAGAGCACCCCAAAATAGTCAGGAAACAAATATGGCACCTTAAGACCTCCCAAAAGGCCCAGTGTGAGTTGAGAGAGGAGAGAGCAGTGAAGTCCAGAAAGTCGGCTCTGATTTTGAGCAAATGGAACTCTCCACCGGCCGCTCCGGCCCTTCTAACCAGACCTGCGGTCCATGCCCTCGACTTGCCGTGGGTGGTTGCAAGGGATCTGTCTCTGCAACATCACACGCTCTGGGGTGTGCAGGGGTCCGGCGGACCCTCGCCCACTGAGACAGGTCTGGGAAGTGACAGAAAAGGGACAGCCACTCTCTCTTTCCTGGCCACAGTGTGATGTGGAGCCTTGTGTGTGGTGGGGGGGGGGGGTCCCCTGAAGAGAAAGGCATAGAACGTGCTGTTTCCTGCCAGCCCCGATAGTGGGGTCCTGCTCTAATTGTTTGAACTTTGTATTTCTTCACTACCTTTTGTAATATATTTTTAGAGTTAAAGACCTGCCTATTCAAAATATCATTTCTGATACGATGATTTTTTTTTTGGTGGAAGTTCCCCTAATCGTGCTTCCTTTAATCAGCAGTCTGTTTTTAGTGCTTATTGTTTTGTGAGAAGTCTTGTTTCTGATGCAGCCCTATTATAGCTTTAAAAGGAGCATTTAGGTGTAACAGAGCCTCCTTAAATCACAAGCCCTCGGTCCCACAGCCTTGAGGTGAGAGTGTGAGGAGCCCGCCTTCCTGGATCTGGGCCTCTCAGCACCGCAGCCAGCCGAGGCCCAGAGGGCTGGAGCGCCTGGCCGCCTCCAAGTGGTCAGTGCTGAGTCCCGAGAGGGAAAGTCAGCCTCTGGGCCTCACAGGCCTTCTCACCCAGGGGGATATGGTCTGACCACGCACATCTCGGACCCGCCCCCTGAGGCACCCACACATGGCCCATGCCTCACCCGGAAGAGGGCCAAGTGCTGCTTTGAGATTGGGGGCAGAAGGGTTGGCTCCAGGTCCCTGGGCAACCTCATGCCTCCAACATTGTTTCTCCTTTTTGGTAACCTATGCCCACAGTGCCATTGGCATCCTCTCTGTTCTCGCCGGCAGAAATGTCTCCATTTCAGAAGGCTTCCTGTTCTGCAAGCTGTGGGTCACGTCCGCATTCCCACGGTGGCCATTCAGACACACGTTCCGCCCGTAGTATGGTATTAGACCTCGCCCAGTATTGGGTGTAGACCTTGGTTTTAAGGAATTGATTTGATGGTAGGCATCACCTGGTCTGCTGATTGCTAATGGCCTTCTGCCTCTTTCTTCAGAGGTCAGGTTAGACATCCCAATTCTAGTCCTAGCCACTGTGGAAAGCATCACCTCCTCATCAGGTCAGGAGTGGGGCTCAGGGCTGTGATGCTGCATGACTCCCAGGTAGCCATTCCCGCGTGGTCTGGGGTTGTGCGGTGCCTGACCTACACAACTGTCCACAAGGGCCCTGGTGGTAGTGTGGGGATTTATGTGCCTGGACAATCCTAAGGGTGACCGTAGGGGGAAAGAGGATGGGAAGGAAAATGGGATGGGATTAGCAGAGTATCTGGAAGTGTATTCTGGGCACCTTCGTGGGTGTCCTGTCGTCAGCACAAGGAGACTGGGAGTGACAGTGACTTCCCCTGGCCTCTGTCATGCCCCTGCTGTCCTGTGGCTCCTATGGCCTCCCGCTAAGCCACAGCAGCACCACTGAGCCCCTGCGGGCCAGGAGGGTGGAGAAGGGTTAGGAGCTGACGTTCTTGGTTGTGTTTCTCTCCTTCGGCTTCTCCGTTGTCCTGATCCCTCGCTCCTCATACTGCCTCTTCTCCCCTTGTCTTTTACCTTCTCTCAACCTGGTTTCAGTCAGACTCATCCATCCAAAGTTTATATTTTAAGGGGAAATGGGCTGAAAGGAACTTCCCCTCAGCGTCTGCATCTGCTGCTGCAGGTAGCACACTTGTCAGATAGACCCTGGTGCATGGGGATTGGGGGACCGCAGGGCGGGGGCGGTCCCTGGTCCACCCAGGACAGGATGCTGTGCCGTGAGGGGAGGGGAGAGGACCCCCTGTGGTGAGATGGTGGGGCGGCTTCCACGGGGACACAGTATCCCTCAGGACACCCTCCCTACCCAGATCCCGAGCCCCTGGTGCTCCATGGAGAGCGGACAGACAGACAGACAGACGCGTTCTTCCGCGTCCTGCCCGTGCAGCCACACGCTGCTCTCCGTTGGGGTTTCCACGCTTTGTGTCAGAGGCTCTGTGCCGTCTTCACGGTAGCCACAGGGCGACAGTCCACAGGGGCCTGAGAGAGGAATGTGGGGCTTGTCCACGTGCCCTGGGGCAGGCGGAGAGCAAGCACTGAGGGCTGAGGAATGCGGGGGAGGAACAGGCCTGTAGTGGGGCCAGGACTGCTGACGGACTGTGTGGTCGTGAGGGCGCTTCCAACCTCCCCACTCCCTGATGTCCAGCTGCCACAGCCTATTGGCACTGCCACTTGCCGCTGGCCCCCGGGGCCCCTGGGGTAGCGTCTTGCCATCTCCTCACCAGCTGGGCAGACCCTCCCAAAGCCAGTGGGGCCTGGAGATGTCGCTCGGGTCTGAGAACCTCCTCGCTGTGTGCTGGACGCCCACTCCCCATGGGACGCCTGCAGGGCCTTTTCCCTTCTGCAGGTCTCCCTGCCCAAAAATGGGGCTGCAGCCTCCATCCTTGAACCGTAGAGAAGGATCTGGAGGATGGTGTTCTTGTCTCCCAGAGAGTGTTCTGGGCAGCCTCTAAGCACACATTGTCTCAGGGCCAGTAGACAGCGATGGGCTTTCAGAGCTCTCCATCGTAGGGAGGGCCCCGCAGGCAGAGGGTCGGAGCCCTGGTAGGCTCTGTGTAGAAGCAGAGCGCAGCTCCCCAGCGGAGGTGCCCCCTGCGGCAGGGAGGCCACGCCTGGGCCCACCCCTGTAGGTCAGAGCAGGGGGCCGAGTGGCTGGGCCACGGGGACACTGTGACAACCCTCCCGTCACTCTTATGCTTGCAGGGAGAAGTGGTGCCACATGACCCAGGAGGAGCGCGACGACAGCCTGCGGTTCAACGAGAACATCACCTTTGGGCAGCTGGGGTGAGGGTGCGGGGCTTGTGGTGGAGAGAGCGGGCCGGGCGGGGTCCCCAGAGGGGGAGGGCAGGGGGCTCGTGGCCGAGAGAGCGGGCCAGGAGGGGCCCCCACAGGGTGAGAGCGCAGGGCAGCGGGAGGCCGTGACACTGACACCCAGACTCGGTGAGGACGGGCCACCAGGTGAGACCCTCCTCCCTGGGGTGCGGCCCGGGGAGCGCCATCCTTACGTGTCACACATTGTGACCCAGTGTCAGTCCACTGTGCGTTCTGAAACACACATCAGTAATCACACTTGGCCTGGATTCCAGGTCCTAATTAATCCGCCTCCCAGCCACACCTGGTGGCAGGCGGTGTCACAGGGAGAGTTGTGGGCTGGTGGATGAGGCGACGATTTATTTTCACTTTTTTCTGGCAGTTCCCGGTGGGCTGCATGTCGGGCCTCCAGGAGACAAGGGCCCAAGTTCCCTTTCCCGGGGGTGCGGGAGGGCGCTAGCTCACAGGTGTTTGTTCCCCCAGCACCTTCACGCACAACATGCTGGCATTCGGACTGAACAAGAAGCTGTGCAACGACTTCCTGAAGAAGCAGGCCGTGATCGGCAACCTGGACGAGGGTAAGGGAGCGCCAGGGGCAGGCAGGGGTGGAATTTTAGGAACAGATGCTCTGCACACCGGAATTTCCCACCCACTGAAAGGACTGTCCCTATCTAATTAGCAATGTGACATTAAACTCCCCGGTGGCCTACGCCTCCCCTCTTCCTGTCTACCTAATGCATGAGACTCTTGTTGTTCTGTGTGGAAATCGTTTCTGCTGGGTGGGGTTTGCCGGCGGTGGAGTGGGGTCTGGGGAGCTTGGCAGCTCAGGGCCAAAGGGAAAGATGTAACTCAGTGCTCAGACCCTGAACGTGAAAATGGCCAAACTGGCCACGAGTCGCCCCTCCTTTTAAATGGCCACCGTATGGCCTCCCTTTGTTTCTTGAACTCCACTGCCTGAGAGGTATGGTGGCCGGGGGGAGAGGGGGGTGGGGAAGGGGTCTTGAGGTTTTTCTGGAGTCTCTGGCTTCTGTAATAAAAGGGACACGTTGCTGATGTCACTCCCCTAATCTGCTGAGCCTGCCTTTAGCATCATCCCACCTGCTACAAAGTCATCCTGCCTCATGGCCTAAAAGCCTTCTGCTTAGACGTATACTTGGATTGACCAATATGCTTAAAAAAACACTCTATCCTGCACCAAATGGAAGGGGTTGCAGAGGAGTCGCGTCAGGAGGCGGGAGTGTTAGAGGTGCCCCTGGATACCTCAGAGTGTTGTCACCAGCCCCACCACGCCCGAAAAGGGCAAGAACACTTGCCCTTGTCCCCTCATCTGCCACGAGGCCCTGTGTGGTCTGGAGGACCCAGGCCTGGCTTCTGCGATGCAGTTCATCTGCCCGAACCATGCCTTCCGCGGGCTTCCATGGGGGCCTGTGGGGCCGCCCGCTGTAGCATCATTTCCATGAGAAGATGCATCCCAGTTTCAAGGATGCCTGTTCATGCCTAATGTGCAGCATGCTGGATGTCACCTTGGGCCTTTAGAAGCTGCGCTCACCGTTGCTGGTGAGGTCCTGATTTGTCATTGTCCCCAATAAGAGCAGGACACTCCTGTCCGTGCCACCATCTTTCTTCCAAGAGATAACATTGTTTTTTCTTCCAGAGCAATACAAGCTGCTGAGTGACCACATCGAGCAGATGGCCACTGAGTAGGCTGCAGGAGGACTGAGGGTGCACGCTGCTCTCCCAGGCCAGCGACTGGCCGTCACCCCACCCGATGACCCTGCATGACATCGGCAGCAGCCAGAGCCACTCCAGCTGCCCTACAACTAGCGCTAGAAGAATCTGGCTGCCTGTCCTCCCTGCCTCCCCTCTGCCTGTGTCTGCTTCCCCCTCCACATGCCAAAGTGTCCCTCGGATTACATGGCTAAACCCGAAGTGACCGTCGTACCCCCGCATGTCAGGCCTGTGACATGGGACCGAGAGGGAGGAGGAGGAAGGAGGCCAGGGCCAGGTGGGCACAGGGCAGTATCTGCCGTGGCCTCCTACAGGACAGAGGGCAGAGGGTGACTGTGGGAATGTGGATAAGGGCAGCCAGGAGACGGCACATGCCAGTGACACAGGGCAGTCATGGGTGATGATCTGGGACCCTCCCCTTCAGGTGTGGAACAGGGGTGCTCCCACAGACGGGGTTCTTGCTGAGCGGCAGCTGTGCGGAGGGGGCGGTAGGCCTCGCAGTGTTGGTCCGGGGCTGGTGCTGGCTCTTTCTCGGCCCCCCTCCCTGTGACAGGAACTGGAGTCAGAGGAACCTGGAGGAGAGAGACCAGCGCAGAAGACGTTCTTTCCTGGCCGCAGAGGGCCCGGCCGCAACTGCAGGGATGTGAGCCCCCGGGGGACATCACAGGCTCTGAGAGTCTTTGTTACAGTCACACCAGCACTGAGGTGTCTGCCTCAGGCCACCTGAGATGTTCCCGGTCAGCTGACAGCTTCCTTCTGAAGCAGAGCGAGTTCCACAGCTCACGCCCGGGAGCAGCGTTGGGCTGTCCCACGAAGAAGCACAGGAAAGAAAGCTTTCTTCAGTAGCTGCAAGACAGCCGCTCTTTCTAAAAGCAAACAGTGCTGCTCTTTATTTCAAAAAAGACAGGAAAATCTGTGTCAGTGTTACAGACAGCCGGGCAGAGGCGGCTTCCGGGGGCGATCGTGCGAGGCGCGGTAGCGGAGCGGCTGCAGAGCGTTGGGCCCTCCACCCCCCGAAGCCTCAGGAAGGCGCCTTTCCCTCCCGCATCCCAGGCCTTTGACCTCTGTCCTGCAGATTCTGCAGGTCCCCCGCGTCTCACATCTGGGGCCTGGGTCGCCTGGCTTTTCTCCTTGGGGTTGTACCAGACGCAGCAGACCAGCCCGAGGGGCTGAAGTCTGAGCCGCAGACATCCAGCATGCTGGCTCCCAGGGCCCGCTCTCTTTCCCTCTGCCTCTTGCCCATCGCTCTTGGGCACTGACCTGGAATAGGCCCTGGGGGGCTCTCTCCTTTCCCCCCTCACCTTCCTGTCCTGTTCCCCTCACTACCTCCTCCAACTCACGGTCCGTTACATCACTGTCTCCTCTTGAGCACCACACACACATGCCTGATAGTCACTTCTCCAGCCAGTGCTCGAAAGTTTCTCTCGTGGAATGCCTCCCTGGAATGTTCCAGAGAAGAGCATGCATTGGTTGAGCCATAGAATGCACGTCCGGGTGATTATAAGAGGGGCGATATGAGACAGAGTGCAATCTGAGGGCTTGGTGTGAAATGAACCAGGAGCAGGGCTTCGGGGACCTGGCTCGTTTTTATGGGGGCACCGTATGTGTGTGATGGCAGCCTGTCTGGCGAGGTCACTGAGCAAAGCACAGCCATGTTGCTGGTTTGCTTGCAGTGTCCCGGGTAGGCACGTGGGCTGGAGGGTCCCCCATTGCAGGACCCTGGCGATGGTGCATGTCTCTGCTGCATGTGTTTCAGGGAAATAACGTCAAGTGGGGGGTGGGGTGGGCCCCTCCTCCTGCAATGCTTCCTTCAGATAATGCACGCCCTCCTGACACATCCACCCGTGACCCTGGATGCGTGGTGCTCCCTCCCCCTGTAATATCAGGCCCCCCAAGTGGTTTGTCCCGGGCCCCGCAGAGCTCTCCCTTTAGCTGTGTCGTCGTCAGCTTTACTAGTCATCTCTTAGTAGTTAGTTGAAATGCATTAAGACTCTAAGGTGCCCAAAAGACTTACCCTTGTGTATACAGGATTTTCGTATAGAAGTTTTGATTTGGTCTGATTTCTGGAGGAAGAGAAGTGGATTCTAAGACTCCGTCCAGGGGTGGCAGAGTGCGCAGAGCGGGCGGGACCACACAGCTTCAGAAGGAAATGCAGCGTTGACTTCTCTGGGCTTTTCCAAGCACTTTAACTTCAAAACTGATGTTGAGACGTTTTCCCCCATATAGTCCTCTTGAAGTAGCATTTGAAGGTGGAAGCAAGAGTTACTTTGGTTTTTTCCTCCTCTTGGTCCTTGTTCTTAGAGATCCAGGTCCTAAGAGTGGAGCAACGCTGACCCCACAAGTGCAGCCTGCTCAGCCCAGAAGGGGGCGCTGCTAGAGGCCTCGGAGTGAGATGCCGAGGTGGCTCCGAGGCTGCTCTGCTGTCCCCTGCTGGCAGCTGCCTTTGGCTGAGCGTTTCACCTTGGAGCGCCCCTCGCTGGTATCTCCTGGAGGAGCCCGGGTCCCTCGAAGAAGGCTGGCAGCGTGCCTCACTGAGATTTCCTCTCTCCCCCGTGACACCATCTCTTCCCTCCGGGCCCAGCCGGAGCAGCCATGGCGGGGCTCTGTTGGCGAGCAGACATAGGACACACTCTCCGAGGCCCCACCCTGATGCACACACGGGGACACTTTGGTGCAAGAGAGCTCTGGTAGTCCTTCTTGTAAACCCAGGGACCTTAGCCTCCACAGGAAGCGTCAGATGGCATCCGAGGACAGAGTTGCAGTCCCAACAGGTAGAGTGACCCAAGCCGGGAGCCTGGAAGGCCTGCCATTAGCAACAGCATTTCAGAGTTTCTGCTGTCTGTCCTTCAGGGCTGTGTGGATCATAGCCAAAATGCAGTTAATTCTCTCAAGTATAAAGTTCCCTGCTCGTGAGAACATGTGGAGATGTGGCTTTGTATGTTTTTAGCCTTTGTTACAATTTTCCATTAGTGATGGATGTTTTAAGAGGGGCCGTGTTCATCTTCAGATTGCATCTGCTGTGTGTGCCTGTGCGCATTTAACCCAAGGCAGGAGACCAAATTCTGACAGTGCAAGTTATTTGTGCAATGAGATGGAGTAGCCTCTGAATTCCCTGTTGCCAGAAGAAAAAAGTGGGCTAAGAACTTCTTAAATTACCAAAAGGAGGACTAGAAAAACAGTCCAGTTCCTGAGTTCTGTACCCAAATGAAAGCCTGTTTAGGTTTTCAGGGCAACCCCGAGAGCCCACATTGAGTTTAGGACAGAGGTCCAGGGCAAGAGCCTCCTGTCCGGGAGTTGAAACCAGTGGACCCTGTTACTCGAACCGAGTCATGTTAGACGGTGGAGTTCCCTGTTGTGGAGAGAAGGCGGCAGCCTGGAGGATTGCATTTCTGTGGACTGTTTTCTGTGCGTTAATTGATCACCCGGAGGGAACAGCTGGTCTCCAGACTCCTGTGTGAGAAATCGAGTTCACACCACCACAGGGTTTGTAAGAAGTGTCATCTGACCCAGGGGACTGGAGACCGTCACCATAAATCAGGGCTGCAGGCTCCGAGCCTGACCATCCTGGGCGTTACAGCGCCCTGACTGGTTGGCTTCTTGGTTAGGGAGGATCCAGGTAGACCCGTGTGGTTAGATCAGCTTTATCACCAAATTACCTACAACTTGAGACCACTGGGCAGCCAGGGGGCCCAGAAGAGTGGGGAGCTTGGGCAGGAGGGTCCGTTGTCAAGGGAGAGAAGGCAGGAGGGCCGCGGAGGCCCAGCCCAACCTGGGGGAGGGGAGGAACGAGCCCCCTGGGGCCCCACCCAGCCAGGTGGTCTCAGGCCATCTCTTCTCATCTCTTTTTCCGCCATAGACGAAGCTGCTGGGAGGGGGCGGACCCCACCCAGCCTCTTAGTTCTGAACCGTTGGCTCTAGGACTCGGCTGTCTCCCACGTTTTCCTGTAAATCATTTATTCCTTTTATGATTCTCGGAGGTGAGCTTCACTTGGAAAGCTGTCTGCTGAGTTTCAGGGTGAAGGGGAAGTGTATTGGCTGGAAGTGTCCCTAACTGACTAAAGTACAGTCTACAGGCCTCAGACAAGGCCATGGCTTACTCACGCCACACAGGCCACACGTCGCAGTATGTCCTTGTCACCGTGTGCCTGGAAATAGGAATGTGTTGGTTTGCCAGAAAACAAGTAGATGAATCATTTCCAGATTGTTCACACCCAGCGAATACCCTCAACGCTAAGACCATCCTCCACGGTGGGCTCCTGCAGGGCCTCATCCTAAACCTCGGTCTCCCATGCTGTCCCTGGGCCCGCGTGTCCTGTACTTCTCGGGGAGGCATGGCACGGATGCCTCCTGGGGGCCAGCTGCCTTGTTCCCTGGGAACCTGGTGCTGGGCTGCGTCCCCGAGTCAGCCGGTCTGTCTGAGCTCCGAGCAGTGAGACGAGTGAAGAGCTTGGGGGTGGAACCCCACCCCTAGCTGTGTCCAGGGGACTCGAGTATCCCCGAGACTTAATTGGGGCAGTGCTCCCATTACTGTTGGAGAGGGAAAAACTCGTCATTTCCAGGAGAGAGTGAGGATGTCTGGGTTTGCCTGTCTTCCCGTCACTTCCACGCACACCCCTCCCGTAGGACAGCCGTGCAGTTGGGGTTGAACCCAGATCCGGGCTTGACCTGCCGACTCCAGGCTTCGACAAGGCAGAGTCAGGGCGGAGCCCGCGGCCAGCTGGAGCTCACCGGAGCACACCTGAAGGGGTTTGCACTTTAACGAGAAAGAGGGCTCCTGTTGGTAAATCCTCTGAACCCACAGCCAGTCCTAGAATTGGGAGACTGTGCCTGTTCCCTCCTGGCCCTAGACGATGTGCTCAAGAAAAGAGAAAGGAGAAATGCGCAGCGGGTATGTCTCCACCGGGAGTCCACGGCAGGGAAGGCCTCTGCCGTGAGGGATGAGGCGCTGCCACGGGGTGGGCTCCTGATCTCTCCGCTGTGCTAGGGACAGCGAAGCTTAGGGTCTGCTGTCCCAGAGCCCAGCGACGCCTTGAGATAGACAAGCCAAACGTGTGAACACTAGAAATGCTAGAAATTCAACCCCAGGCACATCTCCCTTAGAATATGTAAGTGCGTTAGCACACGGTCCATCTCCGCCTTCATTAGAAACCGTGGTCTCTGCTGGGCTTCAGCGGTGGCTTCCGTATGTGCATTCTATTTCTCTGTCACCCATTTGTCTCGGACCTAAACGTGTCACCGCGTCCAGACATTGCCTGCAGCAGCCCAGAGGCAGAGTCGGGGCACAGGTGTCCTCTGCGTCACGGTTATGCAATCTTGCAACCCGCTAGGTGATGCTCCACAAACTGTATTTTAAAGTTGAGGAAGTTTCAAGGTTGAAGATCTCAGAGCAGTGCTAAAATCAAAGCTGTTTCCTGTGAAGAAAAAAAAAATGTGTCTATATATTGCACCTCAGATTGTCAAAAGGTGGAAACTGAAATAAATTATCTTTTAAAAAAAAGTCAGTCTGTTTAATTTCTGTTTTCACATATCCGTGAGGACTTTGTAGGGAATTTGCAGTGTCCTCAATGACATCGGTGGCTTTTCAGAAGAAAACATTTTTTCTAGGGTCAAATAGATGTTTTCCCCATTTAGGCTGAGCATTTGGGTCTCGTGCAGATGAGTGTGTGTCTCATGGGAAACGAGGAAAGGGAGCATTCCTCGGGATGACACAGAGCTGCAGAGTTGTCTGTGCTGCTGCCTGGGGCATGTGTAGTGCATGGATTGGCCCCCGCCCTGCACTGGACTCAGCTCAGCCTCCGGGATGCCCCAGACCCCTTCCAACCGGAACCCTGACCTCGCTGCTCTGAGCCCAGGCTGCCTCACCTCTTGCATCTGGGGTTGGGGGACTGTAGGTGGAACCCGATTACAACTCCTCCCTGACAAACAGGACGCCTTTATCAGTCCTTCCAACCTGGTTCAGCAGACGTGTTTTGTGAATTGGTGGGCTTTCTCTTTTTCCGATTATAAGAAGTCGGTGGCCACACGCTAATTCTTCAGCCTAAGAGGATCTGGGAGGTGAATCTGAGGAGCAGTCAAGGGCCTGGGAGAAGAGTCCTCGGTGCCTGAAGCAGCAGGCTCGGCTCGAGGGGCCCTGGGGGCAGGATGGTCCCTCCCTGGCTGCCCAAGATGGACTGGGGTACACTCCCGGTCGCTTGGTGGAGTGGGGGCCCGACCTCCGTGTCCCCAGCTCTCCACCCACTCTGGAGGACACTGCCCCCTCTCAGCCAAATGTGGGGGGCAGGCTGGGTGGCAGATGCCCCAACCCTGGGACGTCACAGCTGACTTTTCCTCCAGTGCTAGGATTCCCCCAGCGGCAGCCAAGGGCTAGACTCAGGGGCCACTCCAAGGATGGGGGGAAGACCCCTCTGCCGGGCAGCAAAGACCCCAGGAGCTGGGGCAGGGCGGGGTCGGCCCAGGAAAGAGGCCCAGCTCCCCTTCCCGCTCCCAGCAACCACTGTAGGCCTTTTGCCAAATTGTTTGAGCCTCGGTTTCTCCATCCGTAAACCGAGAAGATCACCACGAATCCTGGGCGGTTCCCGTGAGGACCCAATGCAGCCAATGCCAGCATGTTTGCAGATGGCAGAGCTGTGCTGCTGACGCCAGTCCATTCCCTCAGTTTCCCGACGAGGAGTCAACCCAGGGAGGTGTGCCCGTAGGAAGGCTCCTGCCCACTAAAGAAAAAAGAACAAGGACCAAACTGTTCCGTCTCAATTTTATAGGAATACATTTAAAAGGTATTCGAAATTCACAAAACTAAATATAAAAGAAATTTAAACAGTTAAGTTTCAAATGGTGTTTCTTTGTAAGTTGTAACCTTTTCCTTCTTACTTATCGAAGCTTAAGACTTCTGGAACACCCCGTGTGGTGGTTTTCTTCCATAAATTCGTGCTAAACGCTTGCGTCTGCAGCGTACCTCCAGGCTCTCCTGCCACCGCGCCAGGAACGCCCGTGGTCCCCTAAAGAAGCATCTCCCCTCTTCCTGTATTTGGGACAGGGCTCTTGCTCACGACGTCGTGTTTAATGCCACGGGAAGTACCCGAGTGCCTGCCTTCCTGCCACGTGCAGACATCCTCACAGACTGCTCTGGCGCAGCCAGTGACTTTGTCCTCAGCGACCAGGAGAGAAAAAGCAAGAGGCCCCGGAAGTCACACTCCTTCCGTCCCCACCTCCCAGCCTCCCCAGGCTCTGAATTTTGTTGTGACTTCCCAAGTGACCCCCTATGGAGATAGTGACCAGAAAGGCTCTTGGCCAGCTGTCCAGCCCCGGAATGAGGAACCACTGGTCTCCCGGGTGCGCTGGGGCCAGAGGGGAGGGGGGAGGGCCCTCACGCCATCAGCATACATTTAATGAGCACCTACTGTGTGCCAGGCTCCACCGGGCTCCAGGACGACAGGATGGATGCGCAAGGTCATTCTCCTTCAGAAACCATCAGTGGATGTGGGACGCGGCTGAGGTTAAAGAGAGGTACATTTGGGGCCTGCCCTGTGGCGTAGTGGCTAATTTCACTTGCTCTGCTTTGGTGGCCTGGATTCACAGGTTCAGATCCCGGGCCCAGACCTACACACCGCTCGTCAAGCCATGCTGTGGCGGCGTCCCACATACAAAATAGAGGAAGATGGGCACAGAAGTTAGCTCAGGGACAATCTTCAAGCAAAGAGGAAGATTGGCAAAACATGTTAGCTCAGGGCCAATCTTCCTCACCAAAAAAGAAAAAACAGTA